AAATAAATATTATCATTAATATCAACATTATTGCTATTGATGTATTGATATCAGTATTATTGTTATTGATATATTGATATCGATATTATTGTCATTATTATGTCGATGTCAATATTAATGTAAATATTATTATTTGTGTATTAATATCAATATTATTATATCATCGCGAATATCACGAATAATATCGCGAATAATATCAATATTATTATATCATCATGAATATATTGATATCAATATTACTATTGATATATTGACATCAATATTATTGTTATTAATATATTAATATCAATATTATCGTTATTTATACATTGATATCAACATTATTATTATTTATGTATTAATACCAACATTATTTAGTTCGTCAAAAATATCACATTATCAATAATTTTATTCTAGCATTACTATGTATTCACATTAACGTCATCGGCATGCTAATCAATCCAGCCGATCTGCCGATTTCAATTCCGACAATTAGTCTATCGGCAATATTTCTGAAATTTCGATCGTCCCAAAGCGATCCGTCCACGGATATTCGACAATAAAAAAAGATAGGAACATCAAACAACGCGAACTTGCGACATAATCTAATATTATACATATTATACATGCGAAGGGCGTGTTATGAGTGGCCAGTTTCATGCGATTAATTCGGGTGTCTCGTTAATTGCAGGAGCCGCGACTATCGATGTCCAACGCTGTAGCGAAGTGCGCCCTTCAGGGACCATGGCTACGATTCCAGTTAGGGACGTTAGGGTCCGGCGGTCTCCAGATATCCTCGGTTCGCATGCTCGTCTACACGGCTGGGCGCACACGCGCGCACACACACGGCCATAATTCACCGAGCATTTGCATCATAGCGTAGCCCGCGAATCTGGGCGAAATTAATCGCACGAAATGCCGTGAATCGCGCGATAAAAAGATAACAAGGGCGCGGAGGCCGCGGATCCGTGGTGCGCGAGCGATTTTTACAGCGTTGCCGCTGCCGTATACGATCCCGTAAAAATTTTACGATTGTACCGGCCAAACAAATTTCGCGTCGAAATTTCACGGAGGGAAATTGTCGAGCCGGATGATCGGAGGAGGCCGGTCCCCTGTATTTATTCGACGATTCGAGTTTTCTTGACGCTCGATTGTTGTTGGATTTTATGCACTTGCGCGATCGAATGGGAGAACCTCGGAATTACAGAACGTCGCGCAGTGCTCGATTTCATTCGAAAAAGCGGATACGACTTTCTTAAAAGCAGCGTAACGTTTGAAATACTGTAACTTTGTTATTATTCATGCAAATCGAATGAACGGAAAACTATATTGAAACTTATACTTCGAGCTTTTTAATGGTTTATATTGTTTGTGTTGCGTAAAACGAGGGTATGGGAAGGTACGTTAATTCGAGAGAATTTCTTCATATTAATTAACCACGATGAGCTATAAATATTTAAAGACGGTGCATCGTTCGATATAGTTATTCTTCTATTATTTGGCGTTTGTTTGAACAATTTACTGCGTTTAATATGATAATATGATGATATGATGATATGATGATATGATGATATGATGATATGATGATATGATGATATGATGATATGATGATATGATGATATGATGATATGATGATATGATGATATGATGATATGATGATATGATGATATGATGATATGATGATATGATGATATGATGATATGATGATATGATGATATGATGATATGATGATATGATGATATGATGATATGATGATATGATGATATGATGATATGATGATATGATGATATGATGATATGATGATATGATGATATGATGATATGATGATATGATGATATGATGATATGATGATATGATGATATGATGATATGATGATATGATGATATGATGATATGATGATATGATGATATGATGATATGATGATATGATGATATGATGATATGATGATATGATGATATGATGATATGATGATATGATGATATGATGATATGATGATATGATGATATGATGATATGATGATATGATGATATGATGATATGATGATATGATGATATGATGATATGATGATATGATGATATGATGATATGATGATATGATGATATGATGATATGATGATATGATGATATGATGATATGATGATATGATGATATGATGATATGATGATATGATGATATGATGATATGATGATATGATGATATGATGATATGATGATATGATGATATGATGATATGATGATATGATGATATGATGATATGATGATATGATGATATGATGATATGATGATATGATGATATGATGATATGATGATATGATGATATGATGATATGATGATATGATGATATGATGATATGATGATATGATGATATGATGATATGATGATATGATGATATGATGATATGATGATATGATGATATGATGATATGATGATATGATGATATGATGATATGATGATATGATGATATGATGATATGATGATATGATGATATGATGATATGATGATATGATGATATGATGATATGATGATATGATGATATGATGATATGATGATATGATGATATGATGATATGATGATATGATGATATGATGATATGATGATATGATGATATGATGATATGATGATATGATGATATGATGATATGATGATATGATGATATGATGATATGATGATATGATGATATGATGATATGATGATATGATGATATGATGATATGATGATATGATGATATGATGATATGATGATATGATGATATGATGATATGATGATATGATGATATGATGATATGATGATATGATGATATGATGATATGATGATATGATGATATGATGATATGATGATATGATGATATGATGATATGATGATATGATGATATGATAATATGATAATATGGTAATATGATAATATGATAATATGAAAATATGATAGTATGATAATATGATAATTAACCCTTTGCACTCGAAGTCATTTCAACTGCAAATCTAAAATAATTTTTCCTACTTACATTATTTCCATTTTCCAGGACAAAGTGCATTTTATGCATACGATATATGAGTCCCGCGATTCATACAACAGTTACACTTTTAATAATTTTTAAGATTTAAACTTCGATCATATAAAAATGACCTTAGAACGTGATATAATAATTTTAATGGTACCTCAGTATCACCGCTCTAGTGCAAAGGTTTAATATGATAATATGAACAACAATAACAACAAATAAAAAATTGTCCGTTTTC